CTTTTGACATAATAAATTGTTGTACATATTTCAGTTTCCTTTTTATCCTTCCGTTGTAAATAATATAGTTTTTAAATTAATTTGAAATAATAAAAAATTATGATGTGAACAAACAAGAGAAAAAAAATATTAAATAAAAAAAATATAAAGATTATGATAGAGTTTAAAAATTAAACTCAAATAATTACAATTAAACGTAAAATTTAGTAACTCAAAATTTAACAAATTACTTTCTTAAACAATATATAAATATTATTTAATTAAACAGAAGAATTAAACAAATTAAATTTACAAAAATTAAACAAAGAATATATAAATATTTTTTATTTGACTGAAATTTAAAGAAATAAATTTTATCGTAAAGAAAAAAACAACTAAAAAGAAAAAGGAATTTATAAAGTGAGTAAAACAAACTTATAAAAATATTATGTAATTAAACAAATTAAAGTTATAAAAATCAGACAAACAATATATTAATATTATTTTATTAAAACTGAAGAAGATAAATTTTATCGTAAAGAGAAAAAAATTAAAACGAATTTTAAATCCAAAAACAAAAATTATAATATTAACATAACACATTCACTACTAAAAGACATGGCTTCAGGCACGAATTTTTCGCTCCTGAAATCTCGATATCCGTTGCTATTACTCTTTATCAACAAAATATTTGCAATCGCAAATCCGTTGCTAATTTGAGATCGTTGATAGTTATCAACGGATCCTGCCGTAGGTAAATAAAAAACATTTTACCAACTAATTTGCCTTTGGTACAATGTGAATCTTTTACCAACGAAATTTTCGTTGGTAAAAATCTTAACCAATACCAACCAACTTTTCGTTAGTAAATGTCTACCATTACAATTGATAAAAATCAATGTTGTAAATAGTCGCGTAAGTGTGATGCATGATAAAAAAAAATTATTTATTTTATTATTATTTATTTAATAATTCTAATTTTTTTTAACTTTTAGCCAACCGAATTGAAAGGCCAAAATATTATTTAACCACTTATTGGACCACGAATTAATTTATAGAGGACAACTCCGAAAACTTTGTTGTAAACTTTCGATGTGGGATAAGTGAATTACTTTTACCAATGGAAAATCTGTTTCTAATTACCAACGAAATATCCGTAGGTGAAAGATCCAAATGTTAAATGTTTACATGAGGTACGGATTATCCGTTGGTAAAGAGATATCATCGTTACCAATGAAAAATTCGTTGCTAATTATCGTGGTTGAAAGTGAATTACTTTTATTAACAAATAATTTGTTTCTAATTACTAACGGATTGCATCCGTTGGTAATATTCGGTACGTTACCTACGAAATATCCGTAGATGAAAGATCTAATTATTAAACGATTACATGAGACACAAAATATCCGTTGGTAAATAGATATCATCATTAACAACGAAAAATTGTTGCTAATTATCGTAGTTGAAAGTGAATAACTTTTACCAATGGATAATCCATTTTTAATTACCAACGGAATATCCGTAGGTGAAAGATCCAAATGTTAAACGATTACATGAGGCACGGATTATTCGTTGGTAAAGAGATATCATCGTTACCAATTGAAAATTCGTTGCTAATTATCGTGATTGAAAGTAAATTACTTTTACAACGAATAATCCATTTCTAATTACCAATGGATTACATCCTTTGGTAATTTTTCGTATATGAAAAGCTATTTTTTAGTAGTGATTTAAATTAAAAATAAGCATTAAAAAGAACACTGTTCGTGGACGGAAACGAATCTCTCCGTCCACGGAGAGTCTCATTTCTAAAAAGGAAAAAAACTCTCCTTTTGATTTTTCAAAAGGAGAGTCTTCTCTCTTGAAAGGAGAGTTTCTCTTTGTGACAGAAGAACTCTCCTTTTAAAAGGAGAGTTGAATGTAATTATTGGTTTTCTGAGTATTTGACGTCTCGGAAATCCACGAGTTATTGAAAGTATCTAAATTTTAATGAGGTCTATTAAAAATTAAAATTTGAATTAAGATTTCCTAAATTCCAATGAAATACAAATCTAAGGTTTGTTTTGACAACTTATAATTTTTTTATAAAAATTGTTTTTTCTATTTAAATTTTTTAAATTCTTTTTTGTCATTATTATATGGAATCTTTCCATTTCAAAATTAACATCACAGATATCTTACCTCAAATGATTATTTTGATAATTAATTGATTCGCTTCTTCTTCAAACAGTAAATTCGTATCAACATTCAAAATATTAATATCACGTCTAAAATAATCATGCCCGTGCATTGCACGGGCGATAGACTAGTTAATGGTAAAAGAAGAACAAACAAAAATCTATTAGGAGATAATCCACATCAACAAGCTGCTGCAAAAAGGAGTTTGAGTTTTGACTGGTTTAAATGAAGATTTCATTCTCGAATTCCAAAAACTGTTCAGAGTTTGGACCAACAGAAATCAAACAAAACCTAAATCGAAACTTGAAAGTTACCTCAGATCGAGACTCATGAAAATTTCTTAGTTTTGTTAACCCAATTTCTAAAACTGTAGAAACTTTTGAGAAGATTTTGAAAAATTGAGATGGAGGTGAGAGAGAGAGAGAGTGAGACACAAAGTGATGAAAAGAGATAGAGATAGAGATTTAAATTGCAAACACATATGGGATTTAAATTGTCTACAAGCGTATAAAAGTCCAAAAGTGTATAAAAATTAACATTTTTTAAAATGCCAAGCCCAAAAGTGAAATGGAGTGCAATTTTTTCAAAAATATTTGAACTCTACTCAATCAGGCATGGAACATTGAGACATACTCAAGGATTAGAGATATATTTTTTCAGTTTTAAGCTCTACTTTTCGATCTGATAGATAAATTTTCTTTGAGCACCACTATCACACTACAAACCACCTTATCCATCAAAATGTTTGTAATCTTAATATAGGCCTCAACAACCTTAGTATTATACGAAACGTAGTAACATATGATATCAAAGTTGTGAACAACAAATCCTACTCTCTGGTATTTTAATATGGTAAAAGGCTTATTGCTTTGCCCCAGTACCCATTGGTGCCTTTGAGTGCTACTTGTTTGGCTAAGCTTTTAACTGTAAAATATTATGAATTTTATAAAATGTGTCATTAAAATTAATATTTAATTTTTTTTTATGAATATTTAAAAACTTCGTCAAATAAATAAAGAACAAAGAAGTCAAACGTCTTTCCCATATTTCCTTGATTTTGGACACATTTCCGTTATAATGGCGCGAGTTGCGGAGGTAGGCCATTGGATCAAGAAACCAAATAAAATATTTAACATACAGTTGGCATGACTGGCCTAGGTCTGTCCAAGGATCAATAAAATGATAAATACTAAATACTAATAACCTGTCTAGTTAAGCCTGCCCTAGAATTTCACACTTAAAAAATAAAATAAAAAATCTAGAGGTTCTAAAGAAAATATTTAGTTGGTAAACATTTTTAATGACAATTGTAGTTAGAATAGTGATATCTATAATACCTGTTTAGACTGTGCTATATGAAAAGTTTAATATAAGGTAAAATTAAGTGACTCATTTAATTGTACTTCTCACTTAATTCAACATTAGTGCCAATGAGGGTGAATGTAGTTGATAAATCGGAAGTTGATAGACCCATGCAGAGGAAATTCCCCCAATGGTCATCGAACTTTGCCAATTTCCCCTAGGAGATTACCGAACTTCATTTCATCCCTAAATGGTTACCGAACTTTGCCAAAATCCCCTAGAAGGTTACCGAACTTCATTTCGCCCCTAAATGGTCACCAAACTTTGTAAAAGGCCCCTGGGAGGTCATTGAACTTGTTATACATGGGGTCCTATTTTGCAAAAGTTGAGTGGCCTCTTGAGGAATTTCGGCAAAGTTCAGTGACCATTTAGGGACGAAGTGAAGTTCGATGACCTCCTAAGGGAAATTGGCAAAGTTCGGTGACCATTTAGGGATGAAGTGAAGTTCGGTGACCTCCTAGGGGAAATTGGCAAAGTTCGGTGACCATTGGGGGGATTTCCTCACCCATGCAAGAAAAAGATAAAGAAAAACAAAATACAAGTCCAACTCGCCACAGCTAACAACTATTCGTCCTAAGCTGTCCACCATTCACATCGTCTTTTCCAAGATGAAGCAAAAAATCAAACCAACAATTAGCTTTCTACACTTCACAGTCCACACTTCCAACCACTACCTCCCGTCTGTTCCTCCACCATCGATCGCCAACACCATACCAACAACAAATCATCTTTCCTTCCACCAACACCTACACTGCCACACGCAATATCCACCTATATATCCCACCCATTCCGTCGAATGGACCCATCATCTTCATCCCCCACATTTATTCCGACACCCTCTCCCCAACACCTTGTAACAACCATCACCACCATCATTCACCGCCTTCATCTCCGAGTTTAAACCCAACATAAAACTCTAACCAACCAAAACATGCCATTAAATCCAACTGCAAGTATCACCAAATGCTGCTAACCATAACAGCAAAAAGGCCACCTACACGGTGGTGGAAGTGACCGATGTCGTGACAATGGGCGGTGTCATGACAGTTGTGGTAGTGTGAGTGTAATTGTGACGTGGGGAATGAGTAAAATGATAAATAAAGGTTTAAGGGTGGGGTAGGATAAAATTAAGAAAAAATCTTGTATACCTTATTGTTGAAATGATAAGTTAAAAAGTAGACTCATTATTAATTAAGTGAAAAATCTTATATACATGCTTAGTTTATGTTAAGCACAGATAGCATGACACACCAATAAACTAGTAAATAAGTTAATGATAAGTCTCATAAATTAAATCATTTACTAATTAATTGGCATTCCATGTCACATGCACTTAACACCAATGCTTCTTATATATATATGGAGAGAGAGAGAGAATATAAAATATTTATTTAATTATTTTAAATTTCGGTTAGCTCCAATTGGATCCTATAATCCTTAATCCTTTCTCTTTTCCCGTTTGATGTTAGAATCGATTTTCAAAATATTGCACAAAGAATTTTCATTCTCAAAAGCAAATTCCCTCATCCCTTTTTCCCCACCCATGTTCCATCTCATTGCCCCGCATTTCCCTCTTCCCAAACACAGTCCAACAGAAAGAGCACTTATTTTCCAAGAGCCCGCTTCTTCAGATACCTCCTATTTCGCACGCTGCTTTAAAGATATCCAAGTAAAAAAAGTGTCATTCTACGAAAAAGTAAAAGCTGAGTGATAGAGGCAAAAAATGCAGTAAGAGATTTGTGAAGAGGAAAAGAATCAAAATCGACGTTGACGAAAATCTCTTTCTGTAACAACAAATCATAACCTTTTCATTGCTCTCTCTATATATAGACAGGTTTATATGTTATATATGTAATATAAATATATTGTTTTGAATGATATATTGGGTCGGCATCTCAGATTAAAATTCATCTGGGTTTTTTTTTTCTTTTCATTCGTAAGCGCGTTTTCGGTTTTTACCCGGTCTTTTTTTTTTTTTTTTGCCCCTTCTCTGATTCTCTGTTTCGCCGTTACGACGTTCTTTTTCTTTCGTATTTTGGTGGGTTCTCGTATTAAATTCCATTTACTGCGTTTCTATTCTCGTGCTACATGAATTTATAGCTTATGAATGTGGACAGTGGAAAAAATTATATGATTTTATTATGAGATGTGTCCAAATCCATGGTCCTATTTCCTTTCTTAATGAGTAATTTTCTTGTCCAAATATTTTATTTTATCTGAGAAATTAAAAGACTCACCAAGTTCGATATTTGGTTTTCACGGTATAATAATAAAGGTTACAAATTTATTATTATTATTTTATATTTTTATATTTTTATTTTTTGTGTTTAATGTCGAAAATGGGACTCCTTTCTCACAAGTCACTCTTTTGTTTGTTCTTGATGACATCAGTAGTGTTCATATTATCGTGGTTTTTGGTGTTAAGATCGACTGGTCCGCATCACTCTGTTGATTTTTCCATATTACCAAATTCCAAGCTTTTTGCATTGTCTTACAATGAGAACTTTGATAAGTCCTCTGTAATGAGTGCTTCAAAGGATAAAGAAGAAGAAACAGCTTGGAATAAATATTCCAAGCATTGTGATCCCAATAAGCAAGTTCTGAAGGTTTTTATGTATGACTTGCCGTCGGAATTTCACTTTGAGTTATTGGATTGGAAAGCTGAGGGGAAGAGCGTTTGGCCAGATGTCCGTGCAAAGGTCCCTGAATACCCTGGTGGATTAAATTTGCAGCACAGTATAGAGTATTGGCTAACATTGGATCTTTTGAACTCAGAATTTGCTGTAAATTTAAGTGGTCGTAGTGCTGTAAGAGTGCGTAATTCAAGTGAAGCTGATGTGCTTTTTGTTCCTTTTTTTTCATCCATATGCTATAACCGGTTCTCGAAGCTTAAGCCTAACCAGAAGAAGAGTACCAACTATTTGTTACAGGAGAAATTGGTTAAGTTTTTGTTTGCTCAGGACGAGTGGAAAAAGTCTGGTGGAAGAGATCATATAATTGTTGCACACCATCCAAATAGCCTCTTAGATGCAAGGATGAAGCTGTGGCCTGCAATATATATTCTTTCAGATTTTGGAAGGTATCCCCCAACCGTAGCTAATGTAGAGAAAGACGTGATTGCTCCTTATAGGCATGTTATCAGAAGTTTTATTCATGACTCGTCTGATTTTGATAGTCGTCCAACTTTGCTCTATTTCCAGGGAGCTTTATATCGAAAAGATGTGAGTTCACTTTTATCCCTTGCTATGTATGCTCCCTCATCTGGTTTATGTTTTCACGTTAAATTTTGTTAGTAATTCTCCTGTCAAATAGTTGGCCTTGAGGATTAAAGTTTTCTGTTCTGATTCTTAATTCTTCAATCTTCACAATGCACACCCTTTGTTCTAATTATTTTATATCCTAAAGTATGTCTGCTTAGAACTTAGTTCTGGCTTTATATAATAACTTAAACAATTCAAGATAACAAATTTGACTGTATAAATGTCTCTTTGTTGTCTGTCATTTCAATTTCTTTCATTTTCTAACAAAATTTTCCATAAAAATTTAGAAAAAAAAGTATTAAGTTCTGTTCCGTTACTTTTTTTTGCACTTCAGTATCAATATGGGAACCATTCTCGTGGAAAAGCGCAACATATACTTTAAAAGAGGCTTTTAATTTTTGTTCTATTCATGTCCATTGATCCCTCAATGTTTTACAAGCGGTTAAAAGTGCTTTGATTTTATTGTAAGCATATGTTTCTGACAATGATTTGCTTCCTCAAACAGATTTGATCTATCAAGCATTGCCATTTCTATTGTTTGTTAATTTAATTTAATAGCCATATATAATTTTTAGAACCAACAATTGACAGAAAATATGAATTTTATTAGAAGAAAATTAGGAAAACTACCAGAAAGTTAGGGTGTGGTACAATGCATCTTTTATCTAGGAAAAACAGAATAATAACATACAAATCTCTTTAAAAGATTCTTCCAACTTAGAGTGACAATATCAAAGAGGAAACCCTTGTATACCTTATCTATAAATGCCCAAAAAGGCTAAAACCTACCCTTATCCCTTTCAGATAAACGATCTAACTCCTTTTGATGGAGATAGATTTAGAATAGGATTTTAAAGTAGAGTTTGATTTAAAATATATTTATTTAGATTTATTCTAATATTGCGATAAGGTTTATAATTTATAAGAAGTTCATTTGATTTAGCTTCTTTGATTCTTTGTTGTTCTATATAAAGAGGGTTGGCTAGATGTAATAGACACCCTTTAATATATAATCAACTATTACTTCTTTGCCCTCAATTCTTCTCTTCTTGTACCCCTTTCTCTTCTTATTCTTCAATTGTTCGCTGTCAAATTAATACAGTCCCGTCACATTTCCTTCAAAATATCTGTTAAAACCATCAAATATTCAAGAAAAAAAATCAGTGCAGAAGTTATTTGCTTTCTGATATAAAAGTTCTCAGTCACTACAAAGGAATACATGAAATGGAGGGAGATTTTTTCCTCTTTTCGTCTTTTTCCCTTTTCCTTATCCTTTCCCCTTTTTTTTTTTTTTTTAAAGCTTTGTTCCTTCACAAGTTCTGTTTCTCTCCCATCGAAGGCTAAGAAGCTCCACCGTCTGTTTGTTATTCCAATACAGTGAATATTATTACCCAAAATAGATTACGAGTTCTGCTTTGAGGCCAAAAAAGACTCCAATATTTCTAATCTCACTTAGCCATTTCATGTCTATAGAGGGGAGAACACTGGACCAACACATTGCTCCAAAATTGAATCTAAAATATGCTACTATCCAAAATTGTTATTTTGGTGATATATTTTTTGCTCACATGTTCCTAATATTAATTTACCCCTTCCATCTGGTTTGCTTGTTCTCTACTCCTTAAATTTTTCTCAGGTTTAGGATTTATGTAACAAGTATGCGGTCCCAATGGAATGATATCATTTTGATGGTGGATTGGTCCTGCATATAAGCAGTATAAACTGTTCACGGTAGTTTATATTGCATCCACAGGAGAAATAGCTCTTTGTGCATGTCATTGCTAATATTCAGTTGTATGCTTAAGCAGTGTTTATTATACATTCCAGAGCTGCGAAATGCCCTTAATGGATGGCTAAATATTTCTTGAAATACGTAAAGCTAAATATAGACAACGTTGTTTCAACTATCTTTCTTTAATTTTTATATTCCGATTTGGTAAGAATGGCTAATTGAAAAAATCAGTTGCCTTGGATGCTGCCATGTCTTAACACTTGCGGTTTCTGAATTTAGGGTGGAATAATTCGACAAGAGTTATTCTATATGTTAAAAGATGAAAAAGATGTACATTTCTCATTTGGAAGTGTCCAGAAAGACGGTGTCAAGCAAGCCACAAAGGGTATGCACTCGTCCAAATTCTGCCTCAACATAGCAGGCGATACTCCATCCTCAAATCGTCTGTTTGATGCAATTGCCAGCCACTGTGTCCCTGTCATAATTAGCGATGATATTGAGCTTCCCTATGAAGATGTTCTCGACTATTCTGAATTCTGCATATTCGTCCGTATATCGGATGCTCTCAAAAAGAATTTCCTCATAAACCTTATTAGGAGCATTGGGAAAGAGGAATGGACGAGGAAATGGAAAAGGCTGAAAGAAGTGGAAAACTTTTACGAGTTTCGGTATCCATCAAAGGACAATGATGCTGTTCAGATGATATGGCAAGCTGTTTCTAGAAAGGTTCCGGCTATGAAAAGGAAGCTTCATAGGGCTAGGCGGTTTTCTCGTACTATTGTTTCTGGACAAGGAGAGGTTATGTCGGTCGATATCCCAAGAAATTTTTGGTGACCGTTGATTAGGTCTTGAAACTTTTTGAGATATCAAGATTTGTGTGTTGAAGATGGTGGAAACCCTGCGTGTAAATGCAAGTGTTCGGTAGAGAGAATGATCATGACCGAAAAAATTGAAGAAATGAATAGGTAAAAATGGGATTCAATTTTGGTTATGTTTCATCACAGTAGAAATAGTTGATCAATTTTGTTCATTTGTTTCTCTGTTGAGTTGTTCAATATTGTTGGCCAAGTGTAGTTTTATTTGCACGGACCAATTATTAGATGAAGGCACGCAGCCAGCATTTGAATTCTGCCTTGCCAAGAACTTGAATTCATGGATGATCCATTAGATGAACATTGTACATTGTGTAAGAATTGCATCATCTTTGGTATTTTTATCTTTTTCTAAGGCCTGATGTACTCGATGAATCACTAGTTCTTGGTTGTGAAAGTGTTCTTCCCATACAGCACGACAAGTTCACCAACAGTTAGACGTATAATATATATTATCAAAAAGTACACTAATGATGTGATTATATGCAAATATTGTTTAGCTTTCGACCCATGAACGTGCGCGCTAGCTGTTTCGGGCTTGCCTGCCTAGGAAAAGGGAGAAGGCTGCCCCCAGGCTCTTATTGACATTTTTCAGCAGAAAAACCGCATGAGTTTAAATTACATCTTAAAAATTATCCATTACACACTGGTAGTTTTTTGTTTTTGGCTGGTCAGTGTTAAACAAAAGATAGAAATTGAGTTATCTTGGAAAAATATGAAGAAAATCTTTTAAAGATTTCTGTTTTTTATAATGCAAATACTGGGCGTAAGACCAAAGAAACAATAAAAGCAGTGACTAGAGAATTATGGAAATAAATTAAATACATGAAAATGATAAGAATCCAGTCAACCAAGATTTTCAACGCAATGTAGCACAAGCAGAGAATCTATCACAGAACGATTTGTCCACATCCAAATCAAACTATAGCAAATAGATGACAAAATCATATCCTTTCTTCATCTAATTTCAGCCAAATGTCTCAATCAGGAAACCCTTGTAGATGCTCATAAACTTGGCCACAAACGCTGCAAGATTGATTACATAAAATTCCAGTAGTAGCAATACATAATCTCTGAATTATACTGCTAAGATTCTAAATTGCTGAAGTAAAGTTACATAAGATATAGACATGCACGTCATTCCAGAAAAAAACATATGAAAATATGTGCAATGAAATAAAACATCAATCAATCACATTATTGCAATAAATCATATTTGAAGCATGATTTCAGTCACAGAATATAAAATTGGTGAATTAATAAAAAAGATGAAGTTTTTGGAAGTGTGATGCTCCGTTCGATATTAATACATTCTGAACAGTTGGAGCCCAAAAACTCAATATGGGACGTGCTAAGCACATATCCTATCGTTTGAAGACGCATAAGATTCTTAGACATTTAAACACTGCCTTAGAGAAACTAAAACTTCATTAGGTCTAAAAGAAGAGACAGCACTCTTTGGTAATACTGGAAGACACTTGGATTTGGTTTCTCAAAATCAGGAAGTTTCTGAAGCAAACTAGTTAAAAGATAAAAATGGGAACAATGAGTCAACAACTCTGATGCTTTTAAAGAAGTGATAAAGCTTCTCAAAATATACGGAAAATGGGGAAAATATGCTACCGCCAGAGTTGGCTGCTGGTGCCAAACTGCAGGCAGGCATTGCGCACCTTTGTGGTGGTGCTTCAGGATTCCAATGTAATGCGCATAAATATCAGGAGCTATAATTCGAAATACATGATTATCCAGGGATATTACTCTTTTCCTGTTGAGAAAAGAGCATTTTATTCCATGTGATGGGTGCACAGTCCTTTTGCTTAAAAGATGGACAATTTCCCATATAGTTTCTAACCAAGTTCACTACCCTCCATCTATTGACTATAGTTGGTTTTAGTCTTAACCCCCATTTCTTGTCTTAACTTACTTAAAATAGTACAAAAACCATTAGGCACATTATTGCCACACACTTCAGAAAAATCAAACCCAAGTGCTTATTGGGCATCCCTAGATACATAGTATGTTAAAAAGGTAATTTGAGTATTTTCAAAATATGGAATGTGTGGGGGGTGATGTGCAATTTTGAAACACCGGAGACAGAGAATGTGCCATCTACAATTTTTGGTTTATTATAGTCTTCACTAGTTTGGCCTCGATGGCTGTTGAACTGTAGATAACTAATCACAGAAGTACATAAAACATAAGTAGCACACAATTCTGCCATATACTCATTCTAACAAGACTTCAGACAATTTTCTGACATACCTTCCAGGTGAAATATAGCTTTCTGTCCAAGCCGTAACCTATGTTCCTGAGCAAAAACCAAGAAAGCTTAGAAGCATAGAAAAAGATAACTTTTCGATTCAAAATACTTAATCTATTACTAACCAGCACGTATGGAAGTTTCGGAGAAACTGATAAGCAGACAAGCATCATTATCTTTTAGGATCCAGATACCACGCTTAATTGTTATCAATGCAATTGCCAGCCACTGTGTCCCTGTCATAATTAGCGATGATATTGAGCTTCCCTATGAAGATGTTCTCGACTATTCTGAATTCTGCATATTCGTCCGTATATCGGATGCTCTCAAAAAGAATTTCCTCATAAACCTTATTAGGAGCATTGGGAAAGAGGAATGGACGAGGAAATGGAAAAGGCTGAAAGAAGTGGAAAACTTTTACGAGTTTCGGTATCCATCAAAGGACAATGATGCTGTTCAGATGATATGGCAAGCTGTTTCTAGAAAGGTTCCGGCTATGAAAAGGAAGCTTCATAGGGCTAGGCGGTTTTCTCGTACTATTGTTTCTGGACAAGGAGAGGTTATGTCGGTCGATATCCCAAGAAATTTTTGGTGACCGTTGATTAGGTCTTGAAACTTTTTGAGATATCAAGATTTGTGTGTTGAAGATGGTGGAAACCCTGCGTGTAAATGCAAGTGTTCGGTAGAGAGAATGATCATGACCGAAAAAATTGAAGAAATGAATAGGTAAAAATGGGATTCAATTTTGGTTATGTTTCATCACAGTAGAAATAGTTGATCAATTTTGTTCATTTGTTTCTCTGTTGAGTTGTTCAATATTGTTGGCCAAGTGTAGTTTTATTTGCACGGACCAATTATTAGCTGAAGGCACGCAGCCAGCATTTGAATTCTGCCTTGCCAAGAACTTGAATTCATGGATGATCCATTAGATGAACATTGTACATTGTGTAAGAATTGCATCATCTTTGGTATTTTTATCTTTTTCTAAGGCCTGATGTACTCGATGAATCACTAGTTCTTGGTTGTGAAAGTGTTCTTCCCATACAGCACGACAAGTTCACCAACAGTTAGACGTATAATATATATTATCAAAAAGTACACTAATGATGTGATTATATGCAAATATTGTTTAGCTTTCGACCCATGAACGTGCGCGCTAGCTGTTTCGGGCTTGCCTGCCTAGGAAAAGGGAGAAGGCTGCCCCCAGGCTCTTATTGACATTTTTCAGCAGAAAAACCGCATGAGTTTAAATTACATCTTAAAAATTATCCATTACACACTGGTAGTTTTTTGTTTTTGGCTGGTCAGTGTTAAACAAAAGATAGAAATTGAGTTATCTTGGAAAAATATGAAGAAAATCTTTTAAAGATTTCTGTTTTTTATAATGCAAATACTGGGCGTAAGACCAAAGAAACAATAAAAGCAGTGACTAGAGAATTATGGAAATAAATTAAATACATGAAAATGTTAAGAATCCAGTCAACCAAGATTTTCAACGCAATGTAGCACAAGCAGAGAATCTATCACAGAACGATTTGTCCACATCCAAATCAAACTATAGCAAATAGATGACAAAATCATATCCTTTCTTCATCTAATTTCAGCCAAATGTCTCAATCAGGAAACCCTTGTAGATGCTCATAAACTTGGCCACAAACGCTGCAAGATTGATTACATAAAATTCCAGTAGTAGCAATACATAATCTCTGAATTATACTGCTAAGATTCTAAATTGCTGAAGTAAAGTTACATAAGATATAGACATGCACGTCATTCCAGAAAAAAACATATGAAAATATGTGCAATGAAATAAAACATCAATCAATCACATTATTGCAATAAATCATATTTGGTGAATCATATTTGAAGCATGATTTCAGTCACAGAATATAAAATTGGTGAATTAATAAAAAAGATGAAGTTTTTGGAAGTGTGATGNTTCCCATATAGTTTCTAACCAAGTTCACTACCCTCCATCTATTGACTATAGTTGGTTTTAGTCTTAACCCCCATTTCTTGTCTAAACTTACTTAAAATAGTACAAAAACCATTAGGCACATTATTGCCACACACTTCAGAAAAATCAAACCCAAGTGCTTATTGGGCATCCCTAGATACATAGTATGTTAAAAAGGTAATTTGAGTATTTTTAAAATATGGAACGTGTGGGGGGTGATGTGCAATTTTGAAACACCGGAGACAGAGAATGTGCCATCTACAATTTTTGGTTTATTATAGTCTTCACTAGTTCGGCCTCGATGGCTGTTGAACTGTAGATAACTAATCACAGAAGTACATAAAACATAAGTAGCACACAATTCTGCCATATACTCATTCTAACAAGACTTCAGACAATTTTCTGACATACCTTCCAGGTGAAATATAGCTTTCTGTCCAAGCCGTAACCTATGTTCCTGAGCAAAAACCAAGAAAGCTTAGAAGCATAGAAAAAGATAACTTTTCGATTCAAAATACTTAATCTATTACTAACCAGCACGTATGGAAGTTTCGGAGAAACTGATAAGCAGACAAGCATCATTATCTTTTAGGATCCAGATACCACGCTTAATTGTTATCAAAGGAATAAAATTGTAAAATATTGATATTCGATAATAAGGGATATTTTTCCCAAAAAAAAAAAAAAAAATAAATAAAAATAAAAATCTAGCAATTCAAGAATTCAATTATCTTCTAACAATAGAAGCAGTGCTCCATACTCAACTTCAAGTTGGCTCCTAAATTTGTTTGGTACATTGTCATGTATAATGGAAGCCTGGAAGATCTTTTGCAAGGGTAAATTTTATCTGCAGTCACTCAACTTTCAGCACGATTTCAATTCGGTGACCCAATTGAAATTTTGTTTAAAGTTCAGTGGCTGATGATGAAATTTATCTGTTTAACGAAATACCACCAGGACATTTATTAATATCGCTTGGTGCAAGAATGTTGGAGAAAAAGTAAAAAATATGAAGCATTAATATTGATGTACAAATTCCGCACCCATCTAAATAAGAACAAAAGATAGTGCAATGACACAAAAGAAATGTCTAAAAGCATACAAGGGAATTACAAGATGTTGGGTTTTTTATGAACATAATTGCCAAGGCTGGGTAATATATACACTAAAGATGGTCCAAGCATATACAAAGCAAAAAGGAAGGCAAAAGGAAACAGAAATAAACACACAATTAATCCTCTTGAATATTGCTTCAAGGTAAGGAGTAAAATGAATAGCATTTTGGATTCGGACTTACATAATATGCAGCCCAATGAGAGATCTCATGCTTCAGTTCCGAATCCAATTTCTTCAACAGTTCATAAAGCAATCTCTAAAATGAAAGGAAAAATTATTCTTCAGTACTATGTGAAAACATTTTCTAGTTATTCCTTCTCCCCCCAGTAGAAACTGGGACAGGAACAGGGAGGAGTGTACATAGTATAAGAACTCGACCTTCAATATGATGTCTGGAGGAATACAATTGACAAGTAGCTCATACAACTTTCCTCGGACTTCAAACAGCCTAGATAAAAAAATGACAGTTTCATGAAAAGGATTGCAGCAACATAATAAATAATATAAAATAAACAAAGTACAAAATAGCTTTATACTATCCTAAAATTTTTTGGTCGGGGATTGACTGTCGTGCGATGACATGTGCATTGTTCTTTACGACATCCTAAATTTCTCCTTAGCTTTTCATGATCTTTTGCACCAAGTGTATGACAAAACAAATGTATTAGAACAGTAACCATCTGCAACCATGCAAAACGTGCCAAGGTGCCAATATCATGATACCAAAACATGACATTGTCAGCGTTATGTATTCTCCAGAAACCATTATTAATTGGACTTCTTGCTATTTTAACCATTAGAATAACAGTATTACATTCTTTTACCATAAAAAATAACATCAGTACATAAATTTCTCTATTCTTTTAACAAAGGACATATCTCTCTTCCTTTCTCAACAGAAACACTAAAAACTATACCAGGACAAGAACTAATTTACAACATGAGATAGAAACGTTCTAAGAAAATATAAGGTGGGCGTATATTCCTAGTAAACATTATTGAAGACCAAGTTTTCTTCAAATTTTTCATAACATTTCTCATACTCTATGGAAACAACCATTCATGATAGTACAAATTTCCGTGCAATTCACGTGAGCAGTAAATAGAAAAAAATAAGAAGGTGTTAGAAGTATCATATCTTCAAAAAAAAAAAAAAGAAGTCGTGCATTGGGATGGATAGGCGCCTAACCTTTTAGGGCTCTGCTCCTTGAGTATGCTCAATGCAATCTCTGAAACATATTCCTCCCAGTCCATTGGTGGTATTGCTTGATTGCTTGTAAAAGGGTACCTGAAATGAAAAGGCATACGTGAGAACAATTAAGGCAGGCCACACAATAAATTATACATCAATGGATGTATAGAAGCAGTTGACAGCTGAAGCCAGAATATGTAAAGAAACTCAACTGTTGAACACGACAAGTCTCGAATGACAATATTGCCCTTCTCAGACTTCTATTTGATTGCTGTGCTATACGAGAGGCAAATCCTGGAGGGAGTTGCAGTCCTTCTTTCTTGCCAATAAATTCCAACACCTTAACAATCTGACATGTGAATCAAGTTCATTAAACAAGTGCTGGACAAGTATAAATCATATCATGGCATGCTAAGCAAGCATCATTGAAGTTCATAAACAGCACATAGGATTTGGCATTTAAGAAATCAGGGAACAGCAAACTAATGTAACACACAAATCTGGTAAGCATTTAGTGACGCAAATAATTTTTTTTTAATACTTTTTTACTGTAAAGATAATTTATAAGCTCAAATAAACATTTAAAAAATAAAATTATTGATAAATTTCACTCAGTTATAAGGTAAACGAAACATGGAGAAGACCCAACCAAACACTCTGGTCTCAAAGCATAATACTCCATCCATAACATTGTTGATGCAGACATTGCTGTTAAACTTCTCAAAGCCTCTTATGGACTTGTCCAGTATAGCATATGAAAACCTAGGAGGGTTTTGTTTAATGAGGAAAGACGCAGAGAGCAATACTGACCTCTTCTTCAGTAGGTGAATTTATTCGCATATTTAGGCAACGAGAGCGGACTGCTTCTGTCACCTTTGAAGAGCTGTTGCAGCAAAGAATCAGACGACAAGATGCACTGTATTTCTCCATTGTTCTTCGAAGAGAGTGCTGGGCTTCTCTTGAGAGTTTGTCAACCTCATTGAGAACTAAGACTAAAGAAACACACTTCTAAATGTCAGCATCTTAGAAACACTGTGCAACTTATACCAAATTGGTATAATTAATCAAAGACATTACAGAGTCTTCATTTTGATATCATGCACCTTTATTCTGAAAGTATTTTTCAATAAGATAGGATAACTATAATTAGATTAATTTTTGTCCTAACATTGACAGTCACATCAGGAGTTCAGAAGTAGAAGTACCTTTGGTGCATGTTAGAATCAGACGGCAGGGGATAACAATAGAAATTGAAAAATTAAGTTAAAACCTCGTTAGTCATACCGTTCAATTGTTTTCAATACTGTCTAAACATGCACTTGATGTTGAAGTATTACTTTCCCACGAGTCAAAAAATAGATAAGGTGAGAAGTCAAGATACCTTTGAAACCCTTTCTCCCTTTGGTGTCAATGGGTCGATTCTTTGCCATTTCCTTAATAATCTCTTGAACTACATATCGGTCTTGAAATCCTGCATCACTGGGATTCAATTCCACATGGTGGGTGCTTGACAGTGTTGTAAGCTCCACATCAATGGTTCTAGTCCCAGCCTTGAAACAGAAATTTGTTGTTGCGACATCAAATTCATTTGCTAAGTCATCTACCAACATAACTAAATTGACTTTCAAATGCAAAAAACCAAGTTAAATGAGCAGTAAGGATTTGCTCCAAGTAGAATATAAATTTGACCACATAAATATACATATATAAAGAAATGGTCGGTGTGAAATGTGACCGGTATAAGATGAGGAAGAAACTTACATCAATTTTCCAGTTCTTGTTTTCTACCTTCACCTGCAGATAAAAATGCAAAACTATCAGAAACAAAATTCCATTCAACAAAGACAAACAATAGATTTAAAACAGCTCAAACCTCACAAGTGCATTATACATCTTACCCATTCATATTACAAACTATACCTTTCTCAGACATTTTCAAATTACACATCGAACGTCCAAATTAATGTGAATGTAATTCTGAAAGTAGTGCAGCAAGAAGGATTTGTTACTGATGGATTATGCATGGAATATAGAATTTTCCAATATCCTTCCTTTATGTGAAACATAACAATGCAACATCAAGGTTTTTCAACAAGTTGTACACTTTGCTTCAAAAGCAGGACCTTGCTCAGGCCCTTGTAAATTTCCACAGCCAGTAATTCAGGAAAAAAACCGGTAAAGGAGGAAATTTCACCTTATCGGCGCTGGCACCAAACATTTGTCTGAGAAGTGCCATGATTAGGGTTTTCTTACCCGACCCGGATGGCCCGTAGAACAGTAAATGGGGACAATCTTGCTCCATCACCTATTAATTAACATGGGCATAAAATTATGACTCATGCCATAACAAACATACTAAAAATTTTTCAAAATACATGGAATTATATTTTAAAATTACCAGTTTCTTGAGATTTTCGGCGATGTCCTGGTGGACTAACACCTTGTCTAGGGATTTAGGACGGTACTTGTCTACCCACAACATCTTCCCTTCCTCTTCTTCTTGATCGTAAAACACCCACTTCACACTCTAGGGCACTGACTGTATGGAACAGACACGTAGGTTTATTTTGTTGGGGGCTAGATGAGGAGTGGCGGGAAATGTGGAGTAAAAAGGCTGTAAAACAGCTCGTAGTGAACTAAAGTCGCACAAAGAAAATGCGACTACAGCTTATATTATTAAAGTGAGATTGGTGTATTACCTTTTTGAACGTTAAAATGTACATCTTCCTTGACAAGTTGTGAGCGTCAAAATTGGGATCATTAATTGTTTTAAGTACTGTTAAAATCAATGGCAAAAATATGTGCTATGTCCCACAATGTTAATAAAATTGCAAAAGAAAATACAACTATATCAGAATTGTATTAAATAATTGAGCAACAATATGATTATCCTCAAATATTGTTTTATTTGAGATTGTGTGCCTATTTGGTCAAGATAAAAATCAGATTTTGAAAAGTTATGAATTTCATGAAATATAAGATTAAAATTAATTGTTAACTTTGACATGATATTTTAATCTAAAGCAAACAGGGGCTATAATTTGTTGACTAGGATGATTTTTTAATGCCAACAATCAACTTTTCATTAGAATTTTGGCCAAATTTTGCCAATTTTTTGAGGGGTTTTGTGTGCGTATGGGAGCCAACTTGTTTGTAGAATGAGGAAAGATGGAATTTTCGAAGTTATTGTGGTCGGAAAGTGTCATTCGAGTGGAGAATGTTAGAATTCTCAAGAGGGTCGATCCTACTTTTACCTTTGATTCGAGGTGACTTTTTTATAGAGTGAAAATTTTGACATTTGACATTTTTAAGTTGTACCACCCAGTTCAATTTCAACTATGAAAATTTATACTTTCTCATCGACTTTAATCACAAAATCAATTTTACGACAATCATTTAAGTCATTGGATCGCTTGATGGTTCCCAGTTCCAACATTATTGAATGTCCTTTTTCATTTTGTTCCACAAAGATCAACTCCTCCTCAACATACTGTTCTTCTTTAACCGATGCTCTCTTGGGTTAGATGACTGGTTTCTTTTGCTTATTTTCAGACAATTTTGCCTTACTCCTTATTGTAGTGGTTTGCACAAATTCGATCGATGGGTTCATCCACAATCAATCGAGTTAATTGGCTCGGTTTTGTTTCGACATTATTGAGGGGAGCCGATTAATTTTGGAACATTGCATCAATCTTGGTGGTGAATTGAGCAAGGACATTTTAAAGGGAAGTCTTCATCTTGTTGTAGTTATTTTTGTTGGAAGTTCGGTAGAGACTTTTTTGTAACAATCCAACCTCTATGTCCAAATCGTTATATCATATACTACTGACTTTGGGTGAGTATTTGCCCACTTACCCTTTCATGACTTTCTATCACGTTTCTCGATATTCGAATCCAAGACTGTCTAATGAGAAATTTAAGTTGAATCACAGTACTAGTTGGACAAGCACATTTTTTGTAATGACCTCTATACCCAAACTGTTTTATCGTACGTATTGTTCGCTTTTAGGTGGACATCTGCCTACTTACCTTCTATGACTTTCTATTAAGTTCCCCAAAATCCGAACCTAATATCTTTGTCTAATAAGTACTTAAGTTGAATTCTGATATCAATTTGGCAACTCTGTCATATAATACATACTATCTGTTTTGGGTTTGCATCTGCCCACTTACCACGTTACGGCTTTTTATTGCGTCCTCTAGGATTCGAACTCAAGATCTTTACCTAATGAGAGACTTATTTGAATCCTGGTACTAATTGAACAACTGTCCAAGCCATTATCTTTGAGTGGGCATCTGCTCACTTATCCCTTCACGACTTTCTATTGCGTCTTCCAAGATTAGAACCAAAGATCTCTTTGCCTAATAAGAGACTTAAGTTGCGTATGATATAACAATTTGGGCAAAGAGGCCGAATAGTTATAGTTCTCATTGATCTTGGTAGTTGTTTTAAGAGATATTCAGATGATTTTCCCAACTCAAATTGTAAGCATAGGAGTAGGAACAAAAACTTTGTGTGACCACTGGTTCTCATAATTCTCTCAAGGGTAAGTCATCCTCGTTAATTACCGATGGGTTAAAAATATTCCAGCGGGAAAGTCATCTCATCAGTACCAGGAAGCGAGTAATGTGTTGCCATTTTTAACAATAACAATATAAAAATGAAAATTAAAGAAAACTTAATTGAAATAGAATATACAACTTAAAACAAAAACAAAAAAAAGCTCAATATACGACAACAGCGTCAAAATCTTTTACTTATAGACGATGCAATACCATAAAATAAATAGGCCTCAAACAAGTAATAAACTGATAAGGAGTTTCGATCCCGTGAGGATTGCTACTTTTGTTTAAGTAATATAATTCTGGTTTGTTAAATTGTCCGATAGCACAAAAATTAGTTTGAAGGTTTTAGTTAACTACTTGAATGAAAGGCAATTAGAAAAATGAAAACAAGTAAAAGTGAGTTTTTGACAAACTCTAACTGTGAAAATTGTGTTGGGAATTATGATTTCATCCAAATATCGCCGGATTAATTTCTCAAAAAAGCAATTTAATGTTCTACCCACATATTAAAGATATTCTCCTAATTTAGCTAATTATCTCTCTCTCTCGTCTATAGAGAGAGGGAGAGAGAGAGAGAGAGAGAGAGAGAGAGTCAAACTAGCCCAAATTATGTGTATAAACTTACTATATCTTTATTTGATTAAAATATGGAATGGATCACATTAATTTTGGTGAGAATAGCTCAAAGAATTATCTAAGCTTATGAGTATATTTCTCTCTCTTACAATAACTTAAGATCCTTGCTATCGGGTCTAAACCATCAAATAAGTGTTGGAAGATTAAATACTTCACTAAGTAAACATTTGTTGATGAAGCAAATGAAAGGTATTATCACATAACAAGCACAATATGAAAATGGGTAATACAAATTTAAAAAGTAAACAATAAAATTAATTAGGCTAAGGTTAAGTTGTTAACATCAATAGTTTTAATAACCTCTTCTAATTATCATAGCATGTATTCAATAATAATAAAGAGAAATCATAACTCCAATAGCTCGTGATTGATTTTCCATAGTCTTTAGGCTACAAAAGATGAAAGAAGTTATGCCATGGAGAAAACCACTATGTGCTCTCTTGAAACCCTTGAAATCGATACCTTTCATCAAAATTAAGAGGAGAAACGGCCAAAAAAATGTATATATATAGTACTCAATCGGCCAATTCTATATTGGGTAGGGTAACAGTAGGATCATCCATATGTGTTTACAAAAAAGCCCCATCCCATTATGGGCTAAAAAACGACTAAATGAAATACTAGCCCATTTAAAAATACAACAATCTCTCATTTAAATAGCATTGCATTTAATCACAACATAAACACAAACAGACATCTCAAAAATAAAAGGCATTGTTTAGGATGTGCCTTTAGGTTCAAGCCAGTGAATGATACATCGATAGGGCATACAACACATGATCAATACTCGAACTCACATAACACAAGCCAATGAGATGCAAAAGTAGTATGGAAAAGATCAAAATAGTGATAAACACTTGTTTCCATAAAAAGCCTTAAAGACAAATCTGAATGTCTTTAAAATGATAAGTCTTATCCATGGTGCGCCTGACTCAAGCATAAGACTAATCATAAATGTCTCAAAATATATAAACATTGCCTTGTCCAAAATGTGTGTGACTTAGGCACGAGACTGATCAAAATGTCTCAATATATAAAGTAAGTCTCATCAAAAATGCGCTTGACTCAGACATTCATTGGCATTGCTATATTTTAACGACAAAATAGAATATATGAGCATAAATAATATAGTGAAATAGCAACGATTATAGAACTCCCACTAACTAAATACAACATAAGGTTCTAACAATCTCAATTGAGTGACATGCTCCTGAAATAATTTTGAAGCTAAACCTTTAATTAGTGGATCAGCTAACATATGATATATCGAAATATGCTCAATACAAATATATGACTCAATTATTTTTTCTCTAACAAACAAATAATATCAATATGCTTGGAGCGTGAAGAGCTCCTAGTGTTTCAAGAAAAAAGCAATTATTGTGGAATTGTCACAAATTATCTTAAGCAGCTTCGAAATGGCATTCACAATACCTAGCCCCAAGATTAAGTTCCAAAACCATATAGCCTGACTTGTAGCCTCATAACAAGCAACATACCCTGCCTCTATTGTAGAGGAAGTTATAAGTGTCTATTTGACACTTTTCTAAGAAACAGCTCCTCTACCATGATACAAACGTAACCAAAAGTAGATCTCCTATCATCTAAACAACTTGCAAAATCCGCATCAGAATATCCAATTATATCAAGAATGTTAGATTGCCAATATGTGCACATTAGATCTTTAGTGCCTTGCAAGTACCTAGGTACTTTCTTTGCAACTTTCCAGTTACGTAAAATCAGGATCACTCAAGTATCTCCCAAGTACACCAACAACACAAGCGATGTCAGGCCATGTACATATTTTAACACACATCAAACTACCCACAACTGAAGAATAGAGAATTGTTTGCATTTGAGTCCTCTCATTATCATCCTTAGGACATTGACACTTAGAAAATTTATCACCTTTCACAATAGGTACTTTTTCAGAAGAACAAGAATGCATATTAAACCTACTCAAAACTCGATCAATGTAGGTTTTTTGAGACAAACCAAGAACACCTCTAGATATCTCACTAAAAATATGAATTCCCAAAACATAAGAGGCCTCACCAAGACATTCACATCAAAATGAGATGACAACATGCCCTTTGTCTCAAGCAAAAGGTCAATGTCATTTGCAGCGAGTAATATATCATCAACATAAAATCAAAGATAACAATTGGAACCCATCCCTTGGTTGGATCGGGAAAGTGAAGTCTTGCTTTACCTCCTCCTTCCTTAAATTCTCCTAATTTTCTTCTAAGTTTACTCTTATTTTTTTATCTTGTACTTTCCCCTCTTTTTTAGCCTCTCCAAATCCAAATAAATAAATAAATAGATAAAAATAAAAATTCTCTTTCAAAAGAAAAATGGAATTTATATTCTTGTGTCGTTGTTCTAAAGTTTGTATCTTTGAAGTTCTAAAAATGT